CATCATCATAGGTGAGCAGAGTCCGGGTTAGTCCGGGTTAGTCCGGGTTAGTCCGGGTCAGTCCTAATAAACATATAACTCAGACTCAGATAAACTACTTTACTGTCAGTTAAAGTTCACAGAAACACTGGAGGCTCTGGTCAGCTCATCAGGCCCCAAAATAACTACTAGAAAGTTTTATATTGTGCAAAGTACTTTCAATAAATAAAATGAAAAAAACCCGGGTCCGGGGTTAGAGGGTTAGTCCGGGTCCGGGGTTAGAGGGTTAGTCCGGGAACGGAGTTTTAGGACCAAAGACATCTGAGGACCTGGGAGCCCACAGGCCTGGTTATGTACCATAAATACCATAAAATACCATAAACTAATAAATATATAGGCTAACATAAAGTCAGATTCAATACTTAAAAGTCATATACACCTGCAGTGAGTCAGAAACACACACACCATCAGTTCTGTTAGCTAAACTTCACAGTTTCACTGGAACCAGGAGGATCTGGTCAGCTTATCAGGCCTCTAAATAATTACATTAAAGTCCAAATACACCGATGGTAGAATAAAAAGTCTAAATAATTTCCCAAAATACAAAGTTCTAAAAAGTTATAAAATAGAAAGTTATAAATTGTGCAAAGTACTTTCAATAAATAAATAATAAAAAAACAAAATCTCCCTCCCGCCACCAGGGGGTGCTGCAGCCCCCCCACTTCCGGCGGCCATGACAGAAGGTTTTTAATTAACAGACTGTCCCAGTGTGCAGAAAAAAGTTATAAGTCATAAATGTTGATTTCCAAACTGACCGACAGCTGGATGTTTAGATGAGAGCAGAAAGAACCGTTTGAGTGGGTAAATAATAAATATGAGTAAATAATAAATAATAAATAATGGAGGCCTCCTGTGGGGAGACGGGTCAAGTTCCTCTGTCCTCCATTCTGTCCATTTATTACCAAGAAACACATCATCCAGCTAAAATCTGCTGACCAAACTGGACTTTTGTTCTGACCTGTGGGCAGAGGAGCTGCAGAGCTTCTTTTTAGACCAATGAGGTGAAATAGGATGATTTTCTACGGCACA